CTTTGGTTCACAGCCCGCGCTCAATCCACTGAGCTACGCCAGCCAGGGCTCATGAATTGTTTTCTTAATTTCCTTTTTGGAATGTTGATTGATTTCTTACAGAAGTACAGCTGATTTTTCCACATAGATTTGTATTCTGTAATTTTGATGAATTTATTTATTAGCTCTAACAGTTTATGTGTGTGTGTTTGTAGTTTTCTAAAAGATCTGTTATCTTTTAATAGAGTTGTACTTCTTCCTTTCAAATTTGGATGCTTTCCCTATTTTTTTCCGGCTAGATCTCCTAGTACTATACTGAATGAATTAGTGAAAGTGCCTTTTTCCTGATCTTGAGGGAAAAGCTTTCATTCTTTTACCATTGAGTTTGATGTTAGCTGGAAGTTGTTCATACATGGGCTTTGTCATGCTGAGAAAGTTCCTTTCTATTCTTTTACTGAGTGGTTTTATCAGGAAAGGTGTTTGATTTTGCCCTGCTTTTTCTGCATCTAAAGATGTTCCAAAAAGGTATTTCATTAATTATGGAATAAAAATTTGAAGTGGTATAACGTAATGGTTTAATTGGCAACACTTTTTCTTCATGTTGTATTGATTATTTGATGTTCCTTATATTTGGCATATTAGATTTGATAACTTCCATTGTATCTCTTTTGATTTTCCTTTTGATAATCATTGTTATATGAAAATAGATATTGCTTTCCTAAATAATTCTTAGATATACATAGATGTTCTCTAGTCTGGAGTCTGAAGAGGAATAAAAGATGTGCTTCAGCCCTGGCTGGCGTGGCTCAGTGGATTGAGTTGGGGGCCTGCTAACTAAAGGGTTGCCAGTTGGATTCCCAGTCAGGGCACATGCCTGGGTTGTAGGCAGGGTCCTCAGTAGGGGGCCCACAAGAGGCAACCACACATGGATGTTTCTTTCCTTCTTTCTCCCTCCCTTCCCCTCTCTCTAAAATAAATGCATAAAATCTTTTTTAAAATTAATTATTTATTTATTTTTAGAGAGGGGGGAAGGGAAGAGAGGAAGAGAAACATCATGTGTGGTTGCCTCTCACGTGCCCCCACCAAGGACCTGGCCTGCAACCCAGGCATGTGCCCTGACTGGGAATTGAACCGGCGACCCTTTGGTTCACAGCCCATGCTCAATCCACTGAGCCACACCAGCCAGAGCAAATGCATAAAATTAAAAAAAAAAAAAAAAAGATATGCTTCAGAGAAGTGATTTAACCCACCTTTTTTTTTTTTTTTTTTTTGCTACTACTTTGTTTAGCTCAGACTGCATAGCCTCCATCTGCTTGGTCTCACAATTATAAACTCTGGAAAAATTCTTTTCTTTTTTTGTGTATTTCATGTTTTCTAAAATCACATTTGTTAAAGCTCTTTGATACCATTGTGATTGATAATAAATTCATTTCTAGGTAAAATTAATATAGATTTTGATAGTTTTTACTTCTTAGAATTTTTTAAAAGTATTTCTCCATTTAAATAATGAACAGACATTTTGTTTAGGAAATGTGTACTTCCTAATATAGACTCAAAAATAGGGAATTATGAAAAAGATTCTTAGGCCTTTGCTATTTTTTGAGTAAACTAATATGGTAGATGAGCAATAACCTTCATTTGTTGTTTTCTATGCGAGACAGTGGGGAGCAAAACCCTAAATGCCTTTGTTAAAAATGTTTGGAGTGATACCAGCCTGGAACAAAATTGGCTAGCCATTTTATGTTAGCAAGTAACCTATTAGCTCCTTCCCACACATAGTGTATATGTGTGCATGTATCAGTGTACTTATTTTTTCTCTTGAGATTATCATAAGACTAGTTTATTGCTTAATTTGAGCTTCTGTTTGTTTTTACCTCACTTGATTGTCATTATACATTTATTTGCATTGTTTAGTAATTATAATAAACACATGTTCATTCCGAATGATTCCGTTGTGAGGGGGGCATTTAGGGGCTGTGTCATGAATATAACTAGTGACAGGAAGGTGTTTGGTTTTGCTATGTGGATGTCTAAATTAGTTGGCTGTTAGGAAGGCTGATCTTTCATGGTAGGTGAGCAAGAAGACCATGGTAGCAATATGTAGGGACATTCCAATATACCATGTGTTCATCTTTTTGCCAGTTTATTAGATTGCTAACTTAAAAAAAAAGATATTATTTATTTATTTTTGGAGACAGGGCAATAGAGGGAGAGAAACATCAATGTGAGAGAGACATCAATTGGTTGCCTCTCGCATATGCCCTGACTGGGGTCTGAACCTGCAACCCAGGCATGTGCCCCAACTGGGAATCAAACTGACAACCTTTCGGTTTGTGGAATGGTACCCAACCAACTGAGCCACGCTGGTCAGGGCTAGATGGCTAACTTTGGTTTCCTTGGGGTCAGCTAATTATGACCCCATGCAGTTGTCCTTCTTGACCCATTTTTACATGCCCTGTGGAATGATAGACTTAGCTGCTCAAGAGGTCTAGAGCAAAAGATTACAATGCTAACCTGAGAGGATCTCATGTCAGCTTTCTTAAAAAGACATAACTCTGAAGTATGATACATTTATATTTTATACATACTAGAGCTGCTGGGTAGTGATGGCCATTTCATGGTGTGGCGTGAACCTGACATACCGTTCTCAAGTTAAGTTTACATTCTGTTGTAGTATATGAACTTCAAAATAAAGTAGTGTGAATTATTTTAAACACATGTAGTCATGTCCCCTGCACCAGCATTTTTTTCATTGTAGAAAATATTAATGAGCTATTTACAATAAATTATTCTACCAGACAATGCTGTGCACTGAAATTTTGTTTTTCAAATCATATATAAACTTTATAGAACTTTAATGAGTACTCATTATTAAACTTCAATTGATTTTGTTCTTATTTTTCTAGGATTCTGACACTTCATGACGTCATTATCTAGAGCGAAATGAACATAGACCTGTTTTGGATTAGTTGATGACCTTTGGAAATGATCCTATGATATCTACTACAGAGAAGCTAAATATACTTCATTTGGAGTGAACAGTCCAGATTGTAACTGAGTTTTTCAAGATGACAGATCCAATGATGGACTTTTTTGATGATGCCAATCTTTTTAGTGAGACTTTAGAGGGTTTGTCAGATGATGCATTTGTACAGCCGGGACCTGTTTCACTAGTTGATGAATTGAACTTGGGTGCAGAATTTGAACCTTTGCACATAGACTCATTGAACCATGTTCAAGGTACTCCAACACATCAGAAAATGACTGATTATGAACAGATAAATCAGTTTGATTCAATGAAATTTCATCAAGTTAATCAGTGTTTTGGTAGCCCAGCGGAACACGTGTTATCTCCACACTCTCAGTTTAATTGTTCTCCCATCCACCCCCAAAACCAACCCAATGGTTTATTTCCAGATGTAGCAGATGGCAGTCCAATGTGGGGCCATCACACAGCTTCTAGCATTACAAATCAAAATGGGTCTCCTTTTCACCAACAAGGACATTCTCACTCTATGCATCAAAACAAAAGCTTTGTGGCACACCATGACTTTGCCTTATTTCAGGCCAATGAACAACACACACAGTGTACTTCACTGCGCTCACAACAAAACAGAAATAATCTTAACCCAGGGCAAAATTCTCTTAGCCAGTCCAAAAATTTCATGGATGTCAATGTTTCTGGTCCACCCAGAGTCACTGTCAACCACCCACCACAGATTACCAATGCATCTACTTCACAACAGTCTCTTTTGATGCAACAGTTTCCTCAAACATCAAATCCTTCGGCACACTTTGTCAAGTGTAACAATCGGCAAGAAGGAAATTTTAACGGACCTTCTCCAAATATGACTTCCTGTTCTGTCAGTAATTCACAACAGTTTTCTTCACATTATTCTTTTTCTAGTAATCATATATCACCGAATAGTCTTCAGTCCTCTGCAGTTCTTGCACCCAATCACACAAATCAGACTCTATCTGATTTTACTGGAAGTAACTCCTTTTCACCTCATAGGGGAATCAAGCAAGAATCTACTCAGCATATGCTAAATCCCAATACATCATTGAATTCAAGTAATTTCCAAATGTTGCATTCATCACATCCTCAGGGTAATTACAGCAATTCAAAATTATCTCCTGTGCACATGAACTTCCCGGATCCTGTTGACTCAGGAACTCAAATGGGCCATTTCAATGATCATGTGGAAACTAATGGCTTCTCATCTTTAGAAGAGAATTTACTTCATCAAGTGGAGTCCCAAACTGAGCCATTCACAGGACTTGACCCAGAAGATCTCCTTCAAGAGGGTCTCCTTCCCCAGTTTGATGAGTCAACATTTGGGCAAGATAATTCAAGTCATGTTTTAGATCACGACCTTGATCGGCACTTTACTTCACATCTTGTAACAAGGCCTTCTGATGTGACTCAAACTCAGTTTCATACTCAGGCTCGGAGTTGGCATTCATCACTTTCTAATCATCAGCATTTACATGACAGAAATCGCCTATGTTTACAGCGACAGGTATGTAGCTCTTATTTTGGTAATTTGGGGTAGGGTGGGCTTTTGCTCACTGAAATTATGAGACATAAAATTGGTCAAACTCAGTACTATTAAATGAGTATGCATGTTTTGATGTAGATTTCTGTTGCTTAAATAGTCTTTGAAAGTGATTCATTTTGTACTCAAAACAATGGACTCTTTATATTTAGAAAATTATAAGGTATTTTTTAAGACTTTTTTAAAATTTATTTTTAGAAAGCGAAGGGAGGGAGAAAGAGAGAGAAACATCCATGTGCGGTTGCTGGGGGCCGTGGCCTGCAACCCAGGCATGTGCCCTTACTGAGACTCGAACCTGCAACACTTTGGTTTGCGGCCCATGCTCAATCCACTGAGCTACACCAGCCAGGGCAGAAAATTATAAGTTTTTAAGACCTTTTGAAACTTTAATTTATGATTGTCTTTAACAGAAAGATTATAAAACAAATGAACACTTAACCATAATTAAAATGAAAACAATATACTCTGGTTTCTCTTCAGATTATATAAATCTTTTGCCTTTTACTAAAGATTTCCATGGAGAGAAACAAAAAGAAGAAAACAATAGATTGAGAACATTTTATTGCATACATGATGGACATAGGGTTAATATTCTTATAAAAAGCTCATGTAAACTTATAAGATCTCAGTTGATAACTAGATAGAGCATATAAGCTGAAATTCACAAAAGAAATTGAATTAGTATACAACATACAGAATAATATGCACCTTTAATAATTGCAGCATGGTTTTATTTTCACCTAATAGAAAAAATATTTTAAATGTAAATGCTGAATGTTGGCAAATTTATGGTGAAATTGGAACTTAGAAAGCAATTTGGCAGTGTATTTGAGTACAAAATACTTTATTACAATAATCCAAACACAGCAAGAGTAATATACATAAAGGTACTTGTCTTAAAGGGACAACAGTTAACAGCATAATCTATTATCATATCCATATTAGATTTTGATTAGGCTTAAAAAAAAGTTGAAGACTAACACTGAGAATGTTAGCAATAAGAAAAAAAAATTCAAAATTAAAATCACAGTGAAGTGGTTAAGAGTGAAGGCTCTGATACCATACTACTTGGGTAAGAATCTTGGCTCCTTATTACTTAGTAGCTGTGTCACTTTTAGCCATTTATATAATTTCTGTGTCACTTGCTTCGTCTTTAAATGTGGAATAATGATAGGATCTAATGGGGCTTTGGTGAGTTATAACATGTAACATTGCTTAGAACTGTGTCTAGTATATAGTAAACAATAAATGTTTTTAATTGTATTTTTTTATGTGCATGAAAGTATGCATGTGAAAAAATATCAAAAGGAAATAGATTGTTTTAGCATAGTGAAATTACACTTTCCTTTTCCTTTGTTTTCTATTGTTTTTGTCATGAGAATATATTATTTATATACTATAAAACTGTATTTAATATAATATTTTATCATTTTCCTGAGATCTTTTGAAATTAAGGATTCATAGTACTTCAATACCTTGGTTACCTAAGAGATTTAATAAACAATGAAATATGCCACAGTTCTTGAAACTAAATATTTAGGGACCATTTTTTCATTTCAAAGCCTTGAATTATTTGAAAAAGATAAAATCTTTATCCTTTCCTTTGGGTTGAGTTTAGTTCTATTTCAAATGGTATTTTCATTACATTTTAAAAAATGTTTAGATAGATTTTAAGATACTTAAAAGGTACTTGTAAACCCTTTCTCTCCCCTTCTTTTGTGGCCTGAGTAGAATATTACGATTTTGCTCCCTCTGCTGGAAGAGAATCAAGCATCTTAGTTGGACACTGGGAAAAAACTCTACTGATCTGTGGCTAGCATCATCTGTTCACACTATTTATGTAGATTTCTGACTAATTTGACTAATTAATTTGTATAGCATATAATTGAAGTTAAATTTGAAATTTATTAACTTCTTTTTTAATTTTAATTTTTATTGAATTTATTGGGTGTTAACTGATTGACAAAATTGTACAGGTTTCAGGTACACAGTTCTATAACACATCATCTATACACTGTATGGTGTGATCATCAACCCAATACTAACTTCTCTGTCAATTTTATTTTTCTAAGGCCTTATCATCATTTAAATTGTTTTTTATTCATGTTTTTAAAAACATATTCTGGCTTTAAAAAGAAGACTCCTTCTAATCAATTTGGAATGAATGGAGGATAATTATAAATAACTGAAGTAGTCCCTAATACTAGCACAGATAGTAGTAACTGAGAAAAATTCTCTTCAGACCCATCATAAGCAACCTTTCACAAGTCATCTTATTCTGTACTGATAGATTCATGAGGCTTTAATTAAAATCTCACCTTTTTGTTTCAGAGTTTATTACATATTCAAAATTCTGATAAAGGGCAATCGGTTTGGAATACTTTTCTGACTTACTGGAAGTCTGTTCTCAAGTTTTCTATTATTTGTATTAAGAGTGGTATTTGGGAGTTGCTGATTATAGCATTGAAGAGGAGAAATGATTTGGTAGAGAAGGTAGGGGATTATTATTACGATTATGATGATTGTGGATTGCATATAGGCTTTACACGCACTGAATTATTGGTTATATATCCGAAATATGTATAATTCAAATGATTTCATGTGTATAATATATGACACATTTTGGCAGAGCATGTAAGTTTTTTGCCAATGTCAGTTTTGGCATGTTTTGGATGGTAATGGATACTATGTAGCCCAAATGTTATGTCAGTGAGTTATTGTATAATTATGGTGTTTCCCTATGTTCTACGCTGGGTTGAGGGGGGAACACCTTTTTTAGGTTAAAAAAACTCTTAATTGCAGCAATTTCATTTCAGATTAAATGAACATCATTAAATATGGATAGAAGTTAAGAGATTAAAAATAATAAACCGGCAGCATTTTTGGTTTATCAACATTTGAAAAATGATATATTTGGTATAGTCAAAACAATATACAGGGTGGGACTAAAGTGGGTTTACAGTTGTTTTTATAGAAAATAATACAATAATTAATAAAATAATACAAAAAAGCTGTTTTGGGCACTCACAACTGTAAACCTACTTTAGCCACACCCTGTATTCTTTAGTCTATTGTTTGAAAATTCATAAAGGCACTCTATTTAGACTTTGAGAAAATTTCAGTTAGAATTTTGATTATGTAAAGAATATTTCTAAACCTTGCTATTTCTTATTCCCCAATGGAGGTGGGGTAGTTGTGGATATAATAATTTCAGTATCTTAGAGTACCTTGAAATCTGTTGTCAATCATAATAATAGTGACTATTGCTGAGAACATTTCTTATATAATTGACTCTAGAATTTTAGCACTTAAAAAAGAAAAAAACAGTGAGATGATACAAGGTTTATAATGTAAGTAGTTAACAAACATAGAACAGAGAAAATATTAGATTATTTTTAAAGCAAAGGAATTTTGAGAGACTAATACTATAAACTTTTCATTGGTCTCTTATTAAAATACTCTCCACTATTTCATATTGCAGAAATTATTTTTTCACTTTTCCAACAAGTATTTATTGTTAGTTTAGCCATGATTCAGGATCCTAGGGCACGATGTACCCAAGTCCCCCTTCACCTCCCTAGGAGAAGGATGGCAGACAGAAAACAGGTAGGGAGCAGCCGGTTCAGATCTTCCCAGGAAACATGCCTTCTGCCCAGCAGTCATCCCAGGCCAACACCCAGGATATGGGGCAAAGGGACTTGTACACACGCTGGTACCGTTTGCACGTGGAAACATCACCCCCTTCAGCAGTCACTGCCTTTCACGGCAGTGGGAGTCCCGGTTGTTCTGCCAGCCGTTCCTGGTCTGGTTCTGGCTGGGGAAGCAGCTGTCAAAAGGGGCGGTCTGGTAGCTCTTGATTTTGGTCTTGATGTCTTCTGCCATGTTGCTGACTCCTACAGACGTCCCGGAAGCTGCTCGCAGCTCAGTGTGACCCTAAGCCCCAAATTTTTCATTTTTATTTTGTTTGTGAAATATCATAGAGCACTATAATCTCAATGTTTATTAATTAAATTTAATGTACAAATTCTATAGCTGTGAAAAATATTATGTGGGATAGCTGAAATAGCAGTCAAAACAGGAAGTAGATTTGAAGAATTCAAAATAAAACACCCTGGAAATAGAATTTGGGGGTAGACATAATTATTTTTAAGAAGTTTCAGAATTCTTAGTTGTCTAAGCCAAAACACAAAATAGAAATTCTGTACAGGAATTAACTTTTTAGTTGCTTTTTCTTTCTCAGTTAAAGAGGACTAGTTTTTGGTTTTGACATTTTTGTCAAATCTTCTAGATTAAAATATTCTATCCGAACTGGGAAGTGTATGGAACATGACTGGTTCTAATGATCTTTATGAAATTGTGTACTACTATATTGCAGAAGAGTTGAGCTCTGCACTGCCTGCCAGCAATCCGAGTAACAGAAACGCTGGTTGTTAACAGTAGTTTTAAGGCTATTGACCTGTAACATGCATACTTAAAAGTGAGAAGTGGACAGGAAGTGAGTTCCAGGGGTGGGTAAGGGGCATCAATTGATGAGAAATTTGTGGGTTAGTACAGTATGTGAAGAGCATGACATTCAAGCCAGACTTCCAAGTAGGTCTAACAAAATTCTCTTGTCTTTGATTGATGAAGTGTACTCCCAGGCTCCTTAGAAACCCTCAGTCACTTACTTATCATTATAATTTCTGAAATTGAAAATAATGTGTTAGGGGCTACTGAGCCATCAAACTTTATTCCTATAATGGTAACGTGAATATGAAGTTGCTTTGGAATACTTGTATGGGTGATCCAGTTTCTTTGGGAAATTGGACTGAAATGATTTTAATAAAATAAGGTATGGGAAATATGTGGAAAAATAGAGTAAGCACATAGGAGGCGTGGACTGCAGTTTTCAGTTTAATAAAATCTGGTAATTTGCTGTAGTCAACTATGCAAGTAATACCTTGCATATTATGCAAGCAACACCTACAAATTATGCAAGAACACCCTTTTAAGTGAGGTTTTTCCTACATGAATAGGTATATGTTTGTATATCTGAAAACAGTACAAATTTACTTTGACCATGTAATGAAATCACAGTTTTAGAACTGGACGAGATTTTACTCTATCCTCATATATAAAAAGCAGAAACAGTGTTAGAGAGGTCATGACCTACTTGCTGTCACATAAGTAGTTAGCAGATTCCTTTTGTAGTTTAAATTCTACAGTAGTGTTTAAGGGTGATCAGAAGTGAGAGTAATAGCACACTATAGTCAGACACATTTAATGTGCTCTGTTGTAAAATACAGTTATAACTGGTTGCCTTCAAATTGAGAAATACTTTTTCAAAAATTCTTGTTTTGTTTTTTTTTTGCGTGTGTGGCTTTCAATGTCTTAAGGTTTTAACTGTACCTTTAGGGTTCAAAAATAAACAATTATGTCTGTCAAATTTAAGTTTAGACTGTGTATATGTGAATGATTGACTTACATAACATCTGTGTTTTAGAAATGTTGCATTTTATTGCTTTTACTTGTTCAGTATACTAAATGTCAATCAGGTGTAAGATTATGCTGGGCACTGAGGTTGCAAAATGAGTAA